TGGTCTACCCATCAAACGTAGAAAACGGAAGCCGTTGAATTACAAGAAAGGGAATTTATATTAATATAATTTAATTTTTATGTACTTCTTTATTTATAGGAAACAACTAAAAAAGGTACAATTAATTATGTGGTATAGAGTGAGGATGACCAAATCAATCAGCTATAACTAGAATTTTAATTTAGCAGAAAAATTAGGTGTTGATACTAGTTCAATCCCAAAACCAAAAGAACTTCCACCATTCACCATTGAATTATATCATTACTCTAGAAGATGTTACTATATTCAATGTGCAAATGAAGATGAATTTAAAGAATGGGTCGAAATGTTTAGAATTTGTTGCAGAAGAGCTTATGGACTTAAAAATAGAGATCCATGTCATCAAGGTGCTTTCCATGTTGCTGTAAGAAATACTAGATGGAGTTTAGGTCGTTATGGTTATTGGAGTTATGGTGGTAATGGTAAGTAATCATAAATCATAAATCATAATCTTTTTTTTTTTTTTTCTTTACTAATTAAATAAACAACTTTAAAATAGAAATTCAAATTTTATCAGATTTAATTTCAACTGAAGTCGAGTATGATATTCTTGGTCGTGCTTTACGTAAGCTTCCAAATGTACCATGGTTCATTAGAAACTTTTTAAGAAATAAAATGATGAATGTTATTGATGGTATTATTACATCGGCAGTCAATCCATCCTGGGCTGCAATGGACAAAACCGTCACAGAACTCAGACCAACTGTAGAACCAAGAATTAAAAATCAAGTTGACCCAATTGCTCAAGCTCAAGGTAATATTGTTAATAAGATGAAGGAACAAATTATGAGTGCTGCTCAACAATCTATCGAACAACATCTTGCTCCACATTTAGCTAAAATTGTTAGAACCACCAAAGAACCAATTCAAAGCGGCTTTGTTGAATCATTCAAAATTTGGAATGATAAAACCAATGGTTACTCTGGCAACGGTTCAAAAGAATCATTTTCAGAATACCGTCGTTATCCAAATAATTGTTGGACTATGCACCCAGCTAGAATTCAAATCCACGATTTAGAAGATCCATTAAGAGACTTATCTAAAATCTTTTCCGATATTTGGCCATCATCCATTATTTACTCTATCAAGGAAGATATCACCGCTATGGCCTACGATGGCACATACACCTTTGAAAAGACTGTCACAGAAGATCAACAAGATATTGAATCATCAAAGAACTCCACCAGAGAAAAATACGAACATGATGTTTACACTGGCACTGATGAACAAATTAAATTTGTTATTAGATCATGCGCCTGCCCAGTTTTATTCAAAGTCCTCAAACCAATTACCAAACCAATTCTTTCATCTCTTTCAAGTTTAGTTCCATCAGGTCTCAATGATTTCCTCGATGTAGATGAAATGTACACTCAATTAATTAATGATATCGTAGATGAAAATACTCAAATCGCTCTTGACCAAATTAAAAATTAATAATCATTAATATTATACTAGTATATAAAAAAAAAAGAATATAGTATTAAAACATTTTTAATATGTTTTTTTTTTTTTTTAAAAACAAAAACCCATTTTTTTTTTTTTTATATATTAGCATATAAAAAAAAAAGATATCAAAATTATTAAATTAATAATTCTAAAAATAAAATTTATTTATTAAAAACTATATAAAAAAACCACACACAGGGTTAAATAATATATATCGATATATATTATTTATTATATATTATTTTTTTTTAAAAGAATATAATTTTTCTTGAAACCCCAATCGTATTTTGGCGCTTTAATATTATTTTTTAAAAAAAATTTTAAAATTTTATTTTTATTTTTATTTTTTTCATTAATTTACATTATGAACAATTATAAAATATTTAAAGAACTAAAAGATCAAGAATGGAAACAGTTTATAATTGAAAACAGTGACAATGGATTGGAAACAACTATATTTTTAAAATCTCTTTTTACCATCGATTCATATTCAATTATTATTACCGACTTGACAATGGTTTGGTGTAATTATTCAAATTTAGAAAGCATAATAAATGATAAAGATGTATGTACCACATGTAAAGTAAACATAAGGTATATATAGTTTACAAACTAACATTCTATTCTTTAAAGGAATATAACGAACATTTAGATTCGCCAATCGAAAAAATATTGGACATCTTAAGAGACTCGATAAATGAAAATAAAAAAGACACAAGTTATAAATTGTCAATACCTAAAAGTCATTATAAATTATCATTTTCATTATTCACAAAGATATCATTCTATTCATTTAAGTGGATATTTCAATGCGAACCAATTGAAGAGATTATAGATTCAAATTCGTGGAAAGTTCATTCTCAATGGATCAAAGATAATTTTATTATTCCTACAATGTTTTTATGTAAAAATTTATTAAATACAAAACAGCTATTAACCAAGCAATTGGAAAAAGTTTTAAAATATGTAAATAGTAATAATATTAATAATAATACCAACACAAGTATAACCAGTAACAATAGCAATTTAAATAATAGTAGTTTATCAGCATCTCAATTGGTTGGTGACTCCAAGAGACTGAACCTTTCGATCACAAGTAAGAAAATAGGTGTAAATATTTACCAAGCAATTCCTATACTTTCAGAAACTATCAAACCGGAAGATTTCAAAGATAATAATTTTAATTTTTTTAATGACCCAATTTTTTCCCAATATTATGACTTTTTAAATCACAGCAACAATAACAATATCGATAATAGTAATAGCAATAAAAATCATAATGTTAGCAATATAAACGATTTTTATGATAAAGAAAATAGTTTTGATTACAGCAATGGTAACCAACTGGATTTAAATGAAACCGTAGAAGAAAACTTTTTAGATAATGGTAATAGTAATCTATCATCATCAAAGACAAGAGTGATTAATAAAACAACTTCGGCAACATCAGCCACATCAACCAATTCAGAGTTAAGTCTTTTTTATGATGTATGCTCCACACCTAAAAAAAACTATGGAAACAATAGTAGAAACAGAAATAAGACCAATAGCAGTAACCCATCAATGTTAGCATCTCTGCCATCATCCATTTCAAATATACATCCCAATTCATTATCGTCATACAGCTCTTCACAAAACTTTGATGATTTTAACACAACAAACGATTTCGATGATAGCAACATAACGAAAATAACAAATAACCTAAAAGATCAATTCGAACCAAATGAAAATGAAGAAGTTGAGGAAAAAAAAAGAAAATTAGAACTAGAAGAAAAACTTGAACAATCCAAACAAAAGCAACTATATAAAAAAAAGAAAACAAAATTTGTATAAATAAAAACTAAAATATAATATAACCTATTGTCTCTTTTTTTTTCTTTAAAATTAATTTGTTTTATTGTTTTTAAATATTTTAAATATATTTTTAATTTTCGCCAAAATAGATACCTATAAATAAAAATAAAAAAAGCGAGTTAGATAAAAGTTATATTTAGAAATAAATAAAAAATCAAATTAAGAGTTAACAAACCTTCTTCAGTTCTCCATTTAGTATCTTCGTTTTTATTTTTACCACCGCTAACTTCAATTTGACCTGGAATTGGATTTTGGTATTTGGCTGAAGCCATTGCTTGTAAATAACTCTTAGTATCGACATGTTGGAATCTAACGGTTTTACCTCTCATCCAATCACCGCCACCTTCAACTTCAACTTTCCAATTATCACCTGTATCACCTTCACCATTTTCTCCAAAACAACTAACTTCCTGTATTTTTTATAAAATTAAAAGTATTAATATTTTATTTATTTTATTGCATGCAATGATATCATTGTTGAATTATTCTTTTTATCCACAAATTAATTTCGTCTATATAAATCATACATTTTGTTTAGTTAATGGTGAAACTGCTAAATGACTGTGTAAATTCTTTCTAGTGTTTGAGTGTAATAATCTAATAATATCACCATCTTTAACGGCAGTTCTGTAAGATTAAATTAATAAACTAAATTAATATCTTTGTTATTATTTAAATACTTAATAACTATTATATTTACCCTTGTCTAACATGACCACCATTTGGGCCTTTAATAATCCATAAACTATTAGTGTCATCATTTTCTGGGAAACCAGTTACTGATTGTTGACCACTACCACCGCCACCACTACCATAACTAACTTTATGTGAATGTAATCTAAAATTAGTTGGGATATGTGCTAATTTAACAATACTACCATATGCAACCTTTTCAACTGTTAATTAAATATTAGTATTTTGTTTTTTTTTATTATAGTATCGAAATTTTACATACTTGGTTTATCTTCATATGATGCTTGAAATAATGGGATAGAAATACATAAAATTAATAATAAAAATAATGATTTCATTTTATAAATTTACAATTTTTATTAATATAAATAGATCTTAAAAAAAAAAAAAAAAAAAAAAAGAAAATTTTAAAAAAAAAAAAAATTTGAGGACGTGTGTTGAAAAAAATTAAAAAAAAATTAAAAAAAAAATTTTTAAAATAAATATATGATTAATTAAATTGGAAATATTCGATTGATTGATTTGCTTTGTAAAACAAAAAAGTATATATATAAAAAAGATATTATATTTATTTATATGATATATTTAAAATATTTATAAATCTTTTCTGAATAAAAAGCAATGTCGGGATGAATTAAAATAGTAATATAAAGATATAAAAAACCAAAAACAAATCGATATAAACAAAATCAGATAGGGGCTAACGGTAATAAAACTGAGAGAGAATAATTATTTCATTCCAAACAATGAATTATTATCTTTATTGGAGATCTGAATATAATCAAAAAAATTAAAAAATTTTAAAATAAAAAAAAAAAAATTAATTTTTTTTTTTTTTTTTTAATTTTTTTAAAATTTTTTTTTTTATAATTTAAAAAAAATCTTTTTTATTTTTTTCAATATTATTTGTATTTTACACACACACAAAATTTTATTATATATATTTTATTTTATATATATAAACCCCAAATAAAAGAAAAAAAAAGGAAGAGATTCTAATTTCTTTTTGTTTTTTTTTTTACTATTGTATTATATTTATATATTTTATATATTTTTTTTATTTTTTTTTTTTATAATTACACAATAATTTTATAATAATAATAAAATCAAATAATTATTATTATCAAAAAGAATGGTATTAATTACAAGATATTTACCAAAGCTAAACGAACAACCACCAAAATTAGATGGATTAAATAAAGATCAAATTTGTGATGTTGTTATCAGTAATACCACCATCGGTATTATCGATCAATTAACAATGTTAGTAGCACACTCCAATAATATATTTAAATCAATTACAGACGACTGTTGTAAAGTTACAGAAAGAATACAGAAATTAAGCAGCAGAATTAAACCATTAATTGACTCAACTCCATCAATCGAAGATTATCACCGTAATACATCCATCGATGTTATGAACAGTCGTAGTAGAGTCGAATATCACGCAGAAAACACTGAACACAATCAACACTTTACACACGATTCCATTCCAAACTCAGTTAACGATGTATACCAAAGCAAATGTAAACCACCACCAAATCTTTCATTATTAGACCCATATATGGACGACAACCAAAAGAGTTTGAAATTATATACCAATCCAGGATTTTTCATGGAAGAATGGATTGCTGAACAACAAAAGCAACACGAAGAAGCTAGACAAAGAAGACGTGAACGTAGAGAAGCTCGTCTCAAGAAGAAGGGTGAAAAAGGTGAAGCTAACGAAGTTAAAAAAGTTAAATCCGTTACAAAAGTACGTTACGATCCAGTTACTGGTGAAAAAATTACAATTAACGTTGAAAGTCCAGCACAATCACACTCCTCACCAGCTCAATCCCATCACGTACCAAGCTCAAATCAATTTGGTAACACCAATCAACAATATCACACCCCACCACCACCACCAACAATGAGTCATGGTGGAGGCAATCAAGCTTCAAATAATTTACCACCACCACCACCAACCTCTGGTTACTCCACTCCACCACCACCAATTTCACACTCTAACTCTCAATCACAATTTTCAAATAGACCACCATCCACTGGTTTCAATGCTCCACCACCACCACCATCATCTTTACCAAACCAAGCTAATCCACGTATCTCTGTTCATAATATGGCACCTCCAGTTGCTGCCCCAGCTCCTCCACCACCACCACCACCACCAACTGCTCCAGCTCCACCACCACCACCAATGATGGCTAGTGCTGGAGGTGGTGCTGCCGCCGCCGAAAAACCAAAAGCCTCTGGTGCTCGTTCCGATCTTTTATCTTCAATTATGCAAGGTATTGCCCTCAAACCAGCTGAAGAACGTAAAATTCCTGAACCAACAAGCAAAAAAGAAGAAGCTGCTGCTCTTAATGTAGCTGATATCCTTGCTAGACGTATTGCATGGGCTGCTTCCGATTCTGAAGATGATTCTGATTCTGATTCTGATTCTGAATGGGATTAAACTATAACTCTGCTATTGGATAAAGCCAATTTATTATTTAAAATAATTATATATAAAAAAAAAAATAAAAAAAATAAAAAATGTTTAATATTAAAAAAAATAAACAAAATCAAGACAGATATCTATTATAAGAAACAATAATTATTAAATATTCCCAAAAAAAAAAAATAATAATAATAGTTTATATTTGAAAAGGTTTTTTATTTATAATTTTTATATAATATATTTTACATGGACACTAGGTAGCAAAAACATACTTCTAGGCAGGGAGTTTTTAATTTATTTTTTTAATTTTTTTTTTTAATGTGAAGGAAAAGCAGACTCTGACCCTGTAACTTTTGGATTATTATAAATATAACCAGAAACAACTGATACTTTATTTGAACCATATATATTTATATTACAATTTAAATTATTTATATTCATATTATTATTAAAATTTATTATTTTTAAAGTTGGTTATCGATGAATTTTTATTTAATAAAAGAGTTATAGTATCTGTTAAAATAAAAATAAAAAAACTAATATTAATATCTATATGCATTTAATATACAATCAAAAATATATAAATATAAATTAAAAATATCTTTGAATTAAAATCACAAATAATTGAAAACCATTTAATATAATAATAAAGCAATATTCTAATTATTTTATTTACTACTAGTATTATTATTAACTATTTAACATTTAGTAAAAAAAAAATCTACAAAAAAAAATACTTACTTATAATTGTCATTCTTAAAAAAAGTGTTTATTTTTTTTTATTTTTTATTTTATTTTTATTTTTTTTTTGATTAGAACATAAAATTATTTTATTTTTTTTAAAGGAATTATTTTTTAATGTTCTTTATTAACTTTAATTAAAAAGGAAAATAGAAAATAAAATAAAATCTTTAAATAACCAAAAAAAAAGAAAAAAAAAATATCATTTTCCAACTACAAATTATAAAAAAGGAAAGTTTTTTTTTAAAAAATATTCTGTGTTGTACAACATTAAAATTATTATTATTTTTATTCTTTTATTATTTATTTATTTATTAAATTTTTTAATTTTTTATTAATGTTTTTTTTTTTTATATTAAAAACATACACATATATATATCAATATCTTATATAATAATTAGTTGAAGTGGAATTGTTGTTAGTATTATGGTTTAATATTAAAATGATATTATTATTATTATTATTATTATTTTTATTTTTATTTAAAATCATTTAAACCAATTATTGATTGTGTGTGATTTTTTTTTCTTTGTTTTTTTATTTCATTTATTTAATTTCATTTTTTTTTAAAAATAATAAAAAAAAATAGTTTGTTTCTTGTTTTAAATAAAAAGAGTATATAATAATAATTGGGTATTTTCACTTTAAAAAAATGAAATGGATTGTTAATATTCTCAACTTTCTTGTTTTGATATCAATTATTTTTATTAATATTTTTTATTATTTTAAAAAAATAAAAGAAAATGGGTGAATGGTTGAGTGTGAATGTGTTTAATGCACATGCATTTTATGTTAGAGAGAAAATGATAGATTTGAATGAGAAGAGTATTAGAGAAAAAAAAAAAATTACTAGAAAATTTCAATTCTTATGGGTGGTGTGGTTGAAAAATAAAAATTTTAATGCGAGATGTTAAATAAGAAATAGAGTTAATTTTATATTCATTTGGTGTTGTACTTTGGTTAATTTTTTAAAATGTTTTATTTATTACTTTTTTTTTAATTATTTTATAATTCATTATTTTTAAAATTAAAAAATTATGATTTAAATTCCAAGACAACTAAAATAACTATATTATAAATTAACAACA